GCTGTGCCCAGCAGGTGCTCCGGGTCGCCCCTCCGGCCGCCGGGCTCCGTGACCCCAGGACTCCACGCGCCCCTCGCAGCCGTCCGCTGGGGTTTCCGAGCCACCCCCGACCCGCGCGGGTGACATGCAGGCACTCGCCTGGCCTCCTCAAGACGCGCCGCTCACAAGACAGGTCCCGGGGCCTTCCGCTGCGCTGGCGCCGCGCTAATGACGCAGGAGGCGGCCCGACCGGACTGGGCCTGTGGAGGCTGCGGCTGCAAGGCAGTGTCTGCGAAAGTGTCGGGGCTATCCTTCCATCTCTTACTTCCAGAAACAACCTGTGCAGAGAGTGGCAGCTCGTGACAAGGAGGGAACTGAGGCCTGGATGGGTCTCAGTTGATGCAAAGGAAGGAATTGTGCGTCCTATATAAGGGCAGCAATTGCTCCATTTACTGAGCGTTAAGCTTCCTTCAATCTCTTTCCCCCCATTGCCTCCTTTTATCTTTTTTTTGTGTTGTGAGGTAAGTCTGTTCTTATACCCCATTTACAGATACGGTGTCTGAGACCCAGGGCCGACTTTTCTTGCGCACGGCAGAGAAGTGGTCGAGACAGAATTGGAACCTAGGTTTGTGGTCTTTATACCAGGAACCTGTCGAACGATCTTACAGGAGCTTTAGCTCATTACCTGTTGATTGTTCTTTATTTGCTCACTTTATTTACTGAGCACCACTGCGCAGGGCTTCCCAGTCCCTAGAGAAAGGAGGACATGGCATGGCACCTGCGTATGGACCTTTCTGGAGAAGTAAGCAGACAATAAACGGAATAATACAGTGTGGTGTTAAGAAGAAAATGAAAAGGATGCCGAGGTAAGAACAAGTGGTTGCGGGGACTACTACTTATTATATGATCAGGCCAGGTCTCTCAGGAGGTAACACTGAAACCGATACCTCTGAGGAAAGGAGAAAGAGTTTGCCTTTGGAAATCCGTGAAAGAGATTTGGGGGCAAAAGGAACAGCAAATGCAAAAGTCTTTAAGTGGAAATAAGTTAAAGAGCAGCAAGTATGCTGATCACTGCTTGACCGGCATAGAAGACAAGAGTGACACCAGTTTTTTGCAAAAAGACTTTTTTGTGTATGGTCAACCGACAGGAGGCCAGGAGCTATAAGCTCCTATATCTTCCCAGTATATTGGTACCTGGAATTTATAGGAAGGGAGAGGGGGCAAGCTATTTACTGATTGAATGAGGAGAGGGGGGAATTTGGGGGTTCTTTTGCTCAAGCTAAATAGTCAATATACTTCTTCGTAGGTGGCATGTTTGTTTTCAGGGGTAGTTGCCACATTCCAGGTGGGGGTTTTGACCAAATATGCTGCCTGGCTTCTTCTGTTTGTGTCCATTTTTTTGGAGGGGAGAAGAGGGTACCAGGGATTGAACCCAGGAGTGCTTAACCACTGAGCCAGATCCCCAGCCATTTTTAATTTTTTTTTTTTAATTTTGAAACAGGGTATTGCTAAGTTGCTGAGGCTGGCTTTGAACTTGCAATCATCCTGCCTCAGGCCTCTGTGTCACTGGGGTTACAGGAGTGCCCCCCTGTATCTGTTTTTTGTTTGTTTGTTTGTTTGTTTTTTATACTGGGGATTGAACTCAAGGGTACTCGGCCATGAGCCACATCCCCAGCCCTATTTTGTATTTTATATTTTATTTAGAGACAGGGTCACTTTTACTGAGGTGGGTTTTTAACCTCACCATCCTCCTGCCTCGGCCTCAGGATTATGGACATGTTCCACCACACCCAGCTTGTGTCCATTCTTGAAAAGCCAGTTTCAATGAGTTCTTGAGTGAATTCTGGAGGGTTTTCCTGAAAGACAGGCACTAGGTTATTTAAGGAATTCATGCCCAGATGTGTTCAGGCCTTAACTGGTTTTACAAGAACAACATTGTAGCTGGAGTAGAGCCAGTAAAAGAAGAGTGATGAAGGATGATGGTAAAGAGGTGGGCAGGGGCTGCTTTGCATTAGGATTTTATTTTGGATTTTATTCTAAATCACTGGAAAGTTTTAAACTAGAGATTAATGTGATCAGATTTATGTTTTAAAATATCTCTGAGCCATATAGAGAATAGAATTTTGGCAGTTAAGTTGGAAGCATAAAGAGCTATAGGCTGTTGGAATAATCCAAATGAGAGGTCTTTATGATGTTTGAAGAAGGTGGTGGCAGTTAAGTTGGAAAGAGAAGGTAGATTTAAGATATGTTTTGGAGATAGTATTGACAGGACTTCCAGAAAAATTAGATGGGGAAGGTGAGGAAAAGAAATAAGTTAAGGGTAATTTCCGTATGCTTGGCTTAATGATGGATGGATGGATAGATCATGAAACTTCCTGAAAGACTTGATGGGGGTGAGGGTGAGCAATCCAGAGTTCTTTACTGCCTAGGTTAATTTGAAGTTCTTGTGAGTTATACCAAAGGATAAATCAAGTAAGTAATTGAATATTGTGTGGAGAAGAGTTGTCCATCTAAATTATTGTTCTCTTTATTGGCCATCCACCTACACTGTATTCCTCAGCCCTCATGATAAGTGTAAACCTGTGCCTGTGTGCTTCCAATGAAAAGTGAATAGAAGAGGTGTGCACATGTTCCAGGCCTGGTCCATAACAACCTTCAACAGGTGCTCCTCTAGCCTCTTTCTCTGCCAGCTGGAAGCAAATGACCACCAGATTCTGGAAAAGACAAAACTCCTCAAGACTGAAGATTCCTGAGTGGAGAACCTATCTCGCCAACCTGCATGTCCACTCAGAACTGTTATTTTCAAAGGAAAAAAAACTAATAATAATAATCTTCTGTAGTGTTGAGGTTTTTATTTAATTTGACTCTTTTTGTTATAGCAGCTTTGCCTATCCTGCCTAATGTGAATAAGAACAGTGAACATTAGGAGAAAATTTCTAAGTGACTTCAATTGACATTATTCATAACAGGAAATAGAAGGTGGCCTTGATTCACTCGATCATTCCAGAAGGAATTTTCAGATTCCTGCCTGTGCCAGGCACTGTGCTACATAATCAATACATAAGGTGAATAATAAACCCTCAAACAGAACTTAATCTAGCTGCTCAACTTACTGATTTATTTGCACCTGCTTTTCCTCTACTAGAAACTCCACTTTTCTATGCCAAAACACACAGCCCAATTTCTACTCTTTCTTCAGCCTCATTCTGAATACTGATTTTTTTCCAGACATACCTAGCCTTTACCTTTCTTTCCTAGTATAAATCAGATGTTTCTATTTTAATCTCATAACGTATTTCCTTGTGCTTATTACAATTTTTATTGATATATTTGTTTTTTAATGTTTAGTGACCTTCTCCCCCACTAGATTGTGAATAATATCAACTGGGAAAGAATCTTATCTGTCTTATTTGTCATATCTCCAACACCCAGCCCATTGCAGGTACTTAATATTTGTTTAAGTATTCAGTGAATGGAGAAGGCAGAGCCCAAAGGAAGGAGAGGTTATCTTTCAGTGAAGTTCATTCACTTTTTGCTTGTTAGGTAGGCAGCCAAATACCCTCCCATGATATTCATTTCCTGGTGTAATTTCCTCACCATGCATGTGGAATGGTTCTAGTGGCTTGCTTTTAGTGCTTAGGTATCTTGTCCAAGATTAGTTTACAGGAAGACTATGGCTTCTATCTTTTGTCTTAGGTATTCTTTCTTTCTTTCTTATTTGCTCTGAGGGAAGCCAGCTCACCTATGCACTACAGTTTTGTTTTGTACTGGAGATTGGACCCTGGAGTACTCTATCACTGAGCTACACCAGTAGCCCTTTTTTATTTATTTTATGACAGGCTCTTGCTAAGTTGCTAAGGCTGGCTTCAAACTTGTGATCCTCTTGTGTCAGCCTCCTGGGTCTCTGAGATTACAGGTATGCACCATCTAACCCAGTCTTCGAGATGCATTAGTAGTTTCCTAAGGCTGCTACGACAAATTATCACAAAGTGGTGCCTTAAAACAGCACTGTTTTAGAAGCTAGAAGTCTAAAATTGAGGTGTTGACAGAGCCATGCTCCCTTTAAGGAAGACTTCTTCCCTCTGGTGACTCCAGGCAATCTTTGGCATTCTCTGGCTTGTTGCTGCAATCTCTGCCTCTATCTCTACTTGGTACTCTTTGTTTTTCTCTCTGTGTCTCTTTTTATAAGGATACCAGTCATTGGATTTAAGGCCCATCTTAGTTAAGTATGATGTCAAATTAATCACAGCTCGAAATACCCAGTTTACAAATAGAATCATATTCTGAGCTTCTGGGTAGACATGAATTTAGGACATTATTTTCAGTCTACCAGTGTTGCCCTGTGGAAGGGCCCACCAGCTGCCGGAGAACCAGTGGCCTGCCCACTAGCCAGGTGAGTGAGCTTAGAAAGAACCCTTCCTGAGTTGAGCCTTTGGGGACTGTGGCCAAATGGGAGACCCTGAGCCAGAAGATCTAGCTAAGCCCTGCCCAGTTTCCCCCTCACCCCTCACCCACAGAAACAGATTAAAAATGGTCATTTCAGTATTGGGGATATAGCTAAGTGGCAAGTGCATGCTGGCATGTGCAAGGCCCAAGGTTCAATCCTCAGCAACAACAGAGTTGTTTTACAGTTTAAATTTGGGGGTAACATGCCATGCAATATATAATTTGGTACCTAGAAATGGTAATATCATAACAACCCCCTGAAATATGGTAGTTTTGGAACCAGGTGGTAGACAGAGACTGGACAGATTTTTGAGGACTATAATAGAGAAAACCTGAATTGTCTTGGACAAATCTGGTAAAAAAATAAGGATACTGCCAGTAAGTAAAATGTTATTGCAAACTGGAGGAAAGATCACTATGTGGTTTCTTCTGCTTATAATAAAATGTGAAAAGATAATTTGTGAGGATCATTTCACAACAAAGAACTGGGACTTAATAGTTTTTGATCTTCAGCAAAGATCAAAATCGTCATTGCACATAAAATGGGTCTCTCTTTCTTAGCTCAGGTTGCTGAAACAAAATACCATAGACTGGGTGGCTAACACAACAGACATTTATTATAGGTCTGGAGACTGGGAAGTTCAAGAACAAGGTCCCAATAGATTTGGTTCCTGGTGAGGACCCACTTTCTGGCTTGCAGATAGATAGCTACCTTCTCACTGTGTCCTCACAGAGACCTCTGCATTCTCTTACTTTCTTACAAGGGCTCTAATCCCATCAAGGGACCCACCCTCATGACTTCATATAAATCCAATTACCTATCAAGAGGTCCCACCCCTAAATATCATCACATTGGAGATTAGAGCTTCAACATGCATTTGGTGAAGGTTGGGGAGAGAGACACATTCAAAGAGGTGCCTCAGAAAACTAGTCATGAAAAGTACCACTGAAGTATTCATGGTATGTCTCATAGATTTTAAATAATAAGGCCTCTTAATGACACTGTCCCTTAAATCTCAGCAGGACTTCAAGTTAGAGAAGAACTTATTACAGGGAGGTTTGTAGATGTGCCTTTTATTTTATTTTATGTTTTTATTTTTGAAAGAGTGAGAGAGAGAGAGAAAGAGAATTTTTAATATTTATTTTTTAGTTTTTGGTGGACACAACATCTTTGTTTGTATGTGGTGCTGAGGATCGAACCCGGGCCGCACGCATGCCAGGCGAGCGCACTACCGCTTGAGCCACATCCCCAGCCCCAGTGCCTTTTGTATAATGCAATAAATCCCAAGAAGATTGCTGGGAATTCAGAATGTATTTGAAAATTATGTTTGGACTCTTGACTGAGGGGTCAACAGTGCAGATAAGTAGAAATTATAATTCTACTGGCAGGAAGCAAGCTAAGAACTAAACTGCAAATATGGTTCCCCACCCCACCCATACTTCCTATACTGGGGACTGAACCAGGGGCATGCTACCACTGAGCTACACCCTCATCCCTTTTTCTTTTTCTTTTTAATATTTTTTAGTTGTTAATAGACCTTTATTTTATTAATTTACATGAGGCTGAGAATCGAACCCACTGCCTCACACATGCTAGGCAAGCAAGCGCTCTACCACTGAGCCACAACCTCAGCCCCTCACGCTTTTTCTTTTTTGTCTTGAGACAGGTTCTTGCTGTGTTGCTCACTCTGTCCTCTGATTTGCTATCCTCTTGTCACAGCCTCTCAAGCAGCTAGGATCATAGGCATGTGCCACTGCACTAGGCCAAATGTGCTTTTTTTTTCTTTTTTTTTTTTTATGAAAAAAGTATCACTCAGAGAGTGGAGCCAGGAACTATTTTTCTTAGATCTTGAGAACTAATCATGGAACTTCCAACATTTGCCCAATGGGATTCCAGAATTACTATGGACCAGCGACTCCTTTGTACCTCTTTTTGAATAAGAATATCTGTAGCTGTTGCCTTTATCAGAGAAACAGAACCAGCTGGCTATTGGTATAGCCTATAGATAGATCAATAGATAAGAACAGATTTATTATGGGGATTGGCTTGTGCAATTGTTAACGTAAGAATTCCTAAGACTGCCATCTGCACACTGGAGAACCAGAAAAGATGCTAGTCAAAGTCACAGAGTCTGAAGGCCTGAGAACCAGGAGTACCAGTATCCAAGGGCAGGAGAAGATGGATGTCCCAGGTCAAGAAAGGATCAAATTCACCCTTCTTCCACTTTTTTGTTCTGTCAGGGCCTTCAGTGGATTGGATGTTGCCCACCTTCATTGGTGAGGATAATTTTTACTCAGAAATTATTCAGAAAACACTTTCACAGATACACCCAGAAATAATGTTTTACTAGCTGATCTCTGCCGCGACCCCCAGCCTGCAAAGGAAGACGCGACACAGGATTCTTCCTTCAGCAGTTTATTCAGGCCTTTATTTTGACATGTCTTTTAGCTTCTACTACTACTACTCCTACTACTACTCCTACTACTTCACCCGAGCGCCCCAGCCTTGATAAAGTACATCAAGCCCCAATGCACAACTGCCACGTGGACTTTTCTCATAGGGTGCCAAGTCACAGCGCGCCAACTCATTCTGATAAGGAGTTGTTTGTCACAGACTACAGCGGAAACCAGCGCCATCTTGTAATGGCGGCCACAGTTCACAGAAACGGCTCACCACAGATCTCTTCTTCCCCAGTCAAGCTGACACAAGATTAACCATCATATCACCCCAGGCCTGTTGTATGTTGAATGTGTAGGGGACAAATAATTCGTAATCTTATTTTCACAAGACAAATCTTATTTGTCCTGGTGAAAATGTATTTAAGGAACTGTACTCAATGAGGTTCCATCTAGACTTGAGTTGGTGTTGAAATTCTGGACTTCTAGCTGGTACTATGATTGGATGAAGCTTTTGAGGACCTTCAGAGGGTGAGAGTGTGCTTTGTGAAGAGGACACAGATCACTCGCTCCAAAGGAATAGAGTGTAGGTGGCCTCTTTCTTCCTGCTTTTCATACTCTCCACCCCTTGAGCATGAATGGGAGCCAGTGAGTCACTGGTAAGACAGCAGTGTGGTGGAATATCATTTCCAAAGTTAATCACTTCTAAATATTGTGGCTTCCCTTTTGGGCTCATTCTCTTGCTTAACTTCTCTCAGTGAAGGCAGCTGCCATGTGGTGAGCTGCCTCACAAAGGAGCCCAGGTTTGGTAAAGAGCTGATGTCTTTGGTCAACGGCCTGTGAGGACCTGCCATCTGCCAAATAGCTATGTTAATGAGCTTGGGAGTGGATATTACCCCAGTAGGAGGAGTGGGAAACCCTGACCAACACCTTGATTATAGTTTCCTCAGAAGTCATGAGCACCGAGCAAGGCAGCAATAGATGTCTGACCCATAGAAACTGAGATAATAAATATGGACTTCTTGGAGCTGCTGTTCACGGTCATTTGTTATAGGGCAATAGATAGCTAATATAGATGGTTTAAAAATAAATAAATAAAGGAAAAGAGGCCTGCAGGAGAGAGGTCACGGAGGCCTGAACTAAATGACTGCTGCAGATGAGGAGTAAACAGATCAGAAGTCTGTTTGTAGGTGGAATCAGCAGGAGCTGGTGATGGCTCACTTGTGGAAAGAATTGGGGAGGCTATCCTGCATTATCCCAGGGCATAAGCAACTTGGCAGCAGTGGTGCATTTACTAAGGCTGAACACACTAGAAAGAAGAAGGGTTAAAGGATTGTCAGTAGGGGCACAGTATCTTAAATGCAGCAGCAGATGGACAGATGGACGAAAGCAAGCAATCAGCCTGTGACCCTGATGCCACCTGTCTTGGACTAGGGTAGCACCATTGATCCCTCTCGTTCTGGGGCTTCAACCTCTTGAACTGCAGAGCTACTCTGTCCAGCCTACAGGTAGCCATTGTGGATTATCCAGCTTCTGGTCATGTAAGCCAACCTAATAAGTTAAATTATTAAATTATACTTTCTGTTGATTCTATTCCTCTAGCGAACCCTGACTAATACATTCACTAAGCCACATTTTCAGTTTTTGTTTGTTTTTGAGACAGTGTCTTGCTAAGTTGCTGAGGCTGGTCTCGAACCTGTGTAACATTGAAGTGTTAGGTATGTGTGCTGAATTTGGCAGGTAAGATCTGAAATACAATAAAGATACCCTTTTTATACAATATAATAATATGGAAGCAACAGTAAGAGTAAAAGTGACTGGTGAGAGAGAAAGAGAAGGAAATACGTCTCCAGATCAGGGGGAAATGCCCGGGCAGCTTTTCAGAGTCCCCACTGGGAAGTCTCCTACAGAGAGCAGATCAGTCCCCTGGCAGGAAGGCTGAGACTCCAAAGTCTTATTCCCAGTGTGACTCCTTAAATATTAGAACACAGAAAGCTCTGTTCTAACAATCTTTATGACCTGGCGATCCCCTCAAGGACACTTCATCCCCTAAAGACTATTGGATCGCCAAAGGGAGAGCCTTGAGATAGTGAATGACTGAGTTCCCTGGAGAGAGCCAACCCACCTAGAAGGCAGCACTCTAGATGTTCCATCAAGGGTGAGTAGGCACAGAGTCAGGGAAGATCTTTAATATTTTCCTTAGCTCTTTAACTTGAGATTCTCCTGCCTCAGCCTCCCCAGTCACTGGGATGACAGATATGTGCCACCATACCTGCTATGACATTTTTTTAATATATTTTTTTTAGTTGTAGTTGGACACGATACCTTTATTTTATTTATTTATTGTTATGTTGTTCTGAGGATCAAACCCAACGCCTTTATGTGCTAGGCAAGTGCTGTACTGCTGAGACACAACCCCAGCCCCTGTGTCATTGTTTTTTAAAAGTTAAGCACTATAGAAGCTAATAATGCAGAAAATGAAAATCTTCAAGTTCACTCCTCAACAGACTTTGTTAACTCTTTTTGCAGAGCAATTTTGTTAACTCTTTACTACTCTTCTCTGAAGCCAAGTTCACATTTACCTGCAGCTGTGATTCTGTATAACTGCTGTGGTACTACAGAAATCCAAGCTTCCTTCCATGACAGCACTTAACACCCACCCACATGGTAACTTTCACCTACCTATCTCATTTAACTTTATAACTACCCTATAAGGACGAGGATGTGATTATTTTCACCTCCATTTTACAGATGAGGGAACTAAAATTAAGAGAGGTTAACTAGCTGGGCCTGGTGATACACACCTGTAATTGCAGAGACTCAGGAGTTCACAAGTTCAAAGCAAGCCTCGGCAACTTAGTGAAGACCTATCTCAAAAAGAAGGCTGGGGATGTGGCTCAGCTGTTGAGCATCACTTGGTTCAATCAATCTCCAGTACCAAAAAATAAAAATTATTAATTCTAGTTAACCTCTTTTTAACTAGACTTACTAGTTTTAATTAATTTTCAGTAATTCATCCAAACCCAATTGACTTTGCTTGTCTCTCAATGAACTAGATTG